AACGCGGCGTGCCCAGGGCACCCCAGTGCTCGGCGGCGGGTCATGCGTAATGCGGATAGGTGCCGAGATGCGGTGGCACGTGTCCGGAGGCCGTGTGATGCCCGGCGTACAAGTTGGCGCCCGGACTCGTCGACCAGTAGCTCGACGCAGATTGGAAGAGGCCGCCGGGAACGGAAACCGAGACCGACGCCGCCGGCGGCGGCATGAGGTTCAGCTTGGCGTGGCCGTAACCGGACATAAAGAGCTCGCTCTGGTACTTGTACGCCGCCGGATCGGCCGCCGCCGGCTGCGTCGCGGCCGCCAGCCCCTGGAAATCGAACTTATACGCGTACCTCTTGCCGTGCACCTTCGTCATGATGTTCTTGTCGTAGTAGTACCTGCAAGCAGACCGATCCATTCCGATTTCCCTCTACGGATCCGACTTTCGACAAGCTAATGTGGAAATCTTCTCAGAGAAGTCTCCGATTTACGAATGCATAACGTGCACGTTGATAAAGTTACAGATCGTAATTGAAGAGCGGATAAAATAATATAGAACTTTGAAAATTCGAAGATTGAAGCTACAATTTTTACGATGACGTTTTATAAAATCAATTCATTATTTAATTGCTACTCGAAATCGTAAATAACGTACGCGTTATTCTTTATTATATCGCACGTAAGATGTTCTTTTAAGCCGCGCGAAAATTCCGCGATCAAAAATACTGAATTCTGAGCTCGACATCCTTAACCTCAACGCTGGAAATGAGTCCACTTGCCGGGAGTTCTTACACGCTGAGCGAAGGGACGTCAAAAAGAGAGCAATCGCGTAATATAATCAGTGGATCTGATGGAAAAATAATAGCCGCGTCTACCGTCGGTCTGACTGTCGGTGATTGAAATTTCTCCCCCGGCCGCCACCCCCCCGTGAGTCCCGACGACACCGACACATACATACGCGCGCGCGCGCGCGTGGAATATCCGACCGTATATATGTGCTGAACGAATTTACTTTCTCTCCGAAACTTCGTCAAAACATAAATGATGGCCCGTTAATGGGTTTTCTATTTTTGACGTTCCGCGAAAAACGCGCCGCGAAATGCATCGCGCGCTGCTAGCCAGCGAGAAGCCATGGCAGCCGGTGGCCACCGCGAAACTCACCTCAGAGCCCTCGACAATTTGTCGTAATTCATATTAGGCTTGGACTTCCTCTCGCCCCATCGTCTCGCCACCTCGTCAGGGTCGGTCAACTTGAATTCGCCGTTAGTTCCTTCCCACGTGATGCACGCGGCGTTACTCGAGTCAGACAGAAGCTCGAGTAGAAACTGCCAGAGCTGAATCTGACCGGAACCGGAGCTCGCGAGCCGACTGCTCGTTGCCCCGAACATTTGGTAGGGATCTGCGTGCCGTAAATAAATTCAGTATTTCGTCACAAGCTTCGTATTTGCTTATTGCATTATTTAATCTATCATCACATTATCCAGTCCTACACACGCCAGTGTCAACTAAATATCATATGGTTGACGACACGTTAAATACACAGTAAATAAAAAAAATTCAGCCCTACACATAATCATCATCATTTATTATTTCAATCCTCTTTTATAATAAACCCTTTTCATTTTTATATTTTCACAAATAATTTACAGAAATAAAAATAAATAATTCATCTTTACAAATAGAACTGCTAAAAAACTCAAAAATTGGGTCTAATGGATTTTAAGTGCAAAAAAATATGAATACTGTAAATAATAATAAAAAACTGCTATTTTTTTTCTATTGCCAAAGCATCAATAATGTAGAGAATATTTTATCTCTGATTATTATAACGGAATTTAATCAAATCGTGATACTTTGTTAAGTACGTAAGAGCATTCAACGAAATGTGTGCGAAATGTGTGCGATCTGTGTCAATAAACAATAATCCCTGTCGACACAGTGCTTTGCAGCATCTAATCTTCATAAAATTGTTTAGAATTGATCATTATTTCTCTCTCTTATCTTGATAGAAATAAGAAATACCTAATATTTTGATTTATTTGTCGAGATTAATTTAGATCGCAAAGGATTAACTTTGTTTTCACACGAATCGAACGATAAAATTTTTCGCAGGTTCGCGTAAGATATACTTATCCATTACAGGGTTGTTTTTCAAGAGTCCCTGTATCGCCCTTTAAAAGCTTTACAATGCGTCATCACCGACGTTCGCCGCCGCTCAGATGTGGAGGGCTCTACAGCCGTACAAAAGGACATAATCGCAACCCCACGCACAATAGAATAGAATTCATTTGGATCATAATAATTTCAATTTGAGAAACTACGGACGGAGTGGCTCAAAGGGTGACACGAGTGTCTTCTAAGCCTTTAAAGATTCAGTCTTTCGCGCAGCTCGATTGTATCAATTTTTATGTAGAGAAAGCGCGATAAATCAGAAATCACAAGAGTCAACTTATCTTGAAAACTTGACTGCAATCAGGACTTCATTCTCTGAAGCATCGAGCAAAATAACGCGAGTCCAAATAACAAAACTTTGATATTTTTCATTCACTGTGTGATTTCCGCGTCTAAATAAAAAAAATGTAAAAAGAGAAAGCCGCTTGTACCGACGCTTACTTTTCAGTTGTTCACAATTTATTATAAAAATTATATCGCTAGAATTAAGATTGTATTTACTTTGTCAAAAAAAGAGCAATAGACGAGAAAGACAGATCATGTGATTTATATGCGAATCTCAATTTCGTGGTTAAAAATTTTTCGACTAACAATGGACCTAATCAACGTGCGCGAGGTCGCAATTCTCGCGAAGGAAAAATGTAACGAACTTTTTACCGAGAGGAGACAAAACGTCCCGATTTAATGATCTTTCATGGTCTGAAAGAGAGCGAAGAAGAGTTCCGACGCGGGAACTTGAAGACGGGGTAACCCCCCCCATAAAAATACAAGCCGAGCGATTATGAGAGGGGGACCGGGGACGCGGATGATGGGGACGGATTCGGAATTGCCGGACCTCAAAGGTCGTTTCGCCCGATGAATCCGCTGAATGCGTGCCGGAGTGATCGCCTTTCGATCGAACGGTAATTCACTTACAAGTTAATAATGGGAAGGGGCGCGGTACACCCATTTATCTGCCGGGAAACGAGGGAACCGAACGGGGGAAATACTGGGATGCGACTACGCCCGGCGACTCGAGGCTCTTTTCTCGTTTCGCGAGGAATCGATGATGCGCGAAGTAACAGTGACCTTGTTCGACTATCGCGTAGGCAAACCTTTTCATCCTGTTTGCACTATTTCTGGGTTCGGATTACGTTGGACGATTCATCGCATGACCTTCTCGCAATACTTCCGCGAGATGTGTGAATAAAATTCGGACGAACTTTCACCGAACGGGCGAATCGAGTCCGATTGGAATTTATTTCGGACTTGCGAGAGGATAACGCGCTTTAACTTCTCAAAAATATCTACCTACTACATACCAGGCTGCCTGAGATGGCTGTGCGTGTCCAGTGCTGTCTTCGATAAGCTGCTTCCATAGCCTGAAACAAAAGTTTCACATCCCTTATGTATTTTCCAGAGAAAAATCCAAAAAGATTCATAATGTTGCAAAATTACAAAAGACAAAGCTGCCCAGGGCGCAGTCGTGATTTCAAGACACGCGAGACAGAGTGCTATTTTTGCTGAAACTTTTCTCCGAACTGGATGTTCGAACAATCGAACTTTCCGATATTGCGAATCGATTGGAAAGTTCGATTATTGGCTCTGTTTGAACCGCGTAAACTTTTCGCATTAAAGGCTCAACGCTTCCATTACAGGCTGTTCGACCGCGCGATTTATTCGCATCTGTGTCTGAGCTCCAGTTTCGAGCAACACGGGATAATCATCTGTCGAAAGAGACGTCGGATGATTTCCGAATGTCATGTAATCCCGCCGTCGCTCGCGTATATATACACATATATATATATATATATATATACATATATACGCGGCGGATCGGGGAAAATTCCGATCGCGGGAGACAGCGCGGCGCGGGAAAGTCATCGGTCCGAATGCCGAAGATGAAAAAGCGCAAACTCGGTCGAGCGTTAGAATCCGTTAGAGAGGATTTCCGTGTAGGCAAACAACGGGGCTGAGTGCGTTTCTCGTGTACGTTTCCCGCCCCGCTCGTTCCGTCGCCGTCGTCGCCGCTGGTGTGCGAGTCTTCTCTCACATCGCCTTATCGCACGGATTCCCTCGTTCGCGCGGACGGCTCCTCGTCCGACGGTCACGTCCACGCACGGACGTGTGCGATCTGTTTAAGGGCACAATGCCCCTTAATTTCGGCTCGTTATACGCTCGCGGAGTCGATAGTCGGCAAAGGTCAGTCGTGGCGAGCTCTTCGTTACGTAAAAACCCGAATGGAATTGCTATTGTTTGGAAATTGGCTCGAGGGCCGCCGCGTCATTATCGCGCGTCGGCGCGCATTTCATTATTCTCTCACAACTTTCGTCTCTTTTGCAAATCAATAATTTTTAAGCACAGAATCTGAAGTTAATCGAGAGCGAGGAGAGATAGTTTATCGGAAATATTTTACAAGATGCTGAATGTCATTTCGTATATTGATAGATGCAATGCATCGGAAGTATCGTGCGTGCTACGATTTTTACAAAGCGTTAAAGAGTTGGAGAGGATTAAATGTTCCACAATTTTATTTTATCAGAATAAAAAATGTGTACCTGCTAAGTGTACATTTCTAATGCAATTTGAGATATATTATCACGCATAAATATTGCAAACTTGCTCGGCAAAAAATTACACGACGGTCCGAATTGCGAGAAATATTTCTTCCTATTTATATCACCAGCCAATTTGCGAGGATCACCCGCGTCACGACGACATTGTCGACGACGTGTCTATGATAGAGCATCGTCGCGTCGGAATGTAGCGAGCCCCATGGGGGCAGATGCCACCTTTAAATAGCAGTTGGTGTCCGCTGTGTTAAACAATCTGATTTCGCCTCTGATTGGGAAGCGGGCACGGCCTTGGACGAGGGTCCAACCCGGCCGGGGACGGCGTTCCCGGGGTCTTTCTACGGGTCGTAGGGTCCGCCGCAATCAGTGTAGCCGCGGGGCTTCGAGCCGTCGCGTGCTCGTTTCTCCAACGCAAACTCCGACACCGCGATCGTGATCACATCGGCAGCATGTACAGCGGGTGTCACCGACGATGGCTCGATCAGATGCTCAACGTAGATTGCAGACGATTGGAACTTGTCGTTTTAGCTATTTTCGAATTATACAAAGTGGTACATATTTTTATCGCACAAAAGTGTCTACTCATCGAATCTATCGTATTATTTTTTATCTACGGATTCTTTGAACGATTAAGAATTGATTTTTTCAACAAAAATATTAAGGAACCAATAGTTTTTAATTTATAGTTAAAAAGAAGAGAGAGAGAGAGAGAGATACATATTTTAGGATACTAAACGACCGCTTGGATCGCTGATCAGTGAATAAATAACAAAAAAAGCAATTCTCCCATGCGAAAAATCCCCCAAGCATTGTTTTCGCAGATCGATCTTGCGTATTGTACAGTAATTCGTTTCACGTCACCTCGAATCGACGGACGTACACCCAATGTCGCGAGAGTATATCTACGCATTCACGAGCAATTACTCGGGGCGGGGTAATCCCGTTAGGCGGCATGCAGCCTCCTCGAGGGAGGATCAAAGAACCCGTCGTCATTCCGTGCTGCTGCACTCTTCGGCAGCCTCGGACTCGTACAATGCCACTCGGCGTCGCGACGTCGAAAAGAATGGGGGGGAAATCTCGGTGCGACTTGGAGAAATTTTGGGCACGTTCCAACAAACACACGCACACAACGACGCTGCGACGAGGACGAAGTCCTCTCATTCGTTTCGGTCATTCCTATCGCATCGAGATATCGTTCCGCCACGCTAATTTTGAGATGTTGCTGACCGAAGACTTGCGGAGTCGCGTCCAAATCGCTTGGAAATTTTTGCACTGCGTCTTCTTGATACGAATAAAAGAATGAGGGGACTCATACGAGACGATCCTCGAGATTGCATTTACATTTTGCCGGTGTTTGTTTCGATATCTCCGAAAGCGGACGAACTCACATACGTTATTTTTCATTGTCGAAGACAATAAAGAATTATTGTCACAGTCGTTAGTCAAAAATATGGAGCATCTTTAATAAATTCTCATATTTTGAACTAGTTTGTGATTAACGGGCGCCATTCATGCCGCAAATTTCGACAATGCATGTCGACAGTTAAGATTTGCAGTCTGGAAAATCCGACTTGTGTTAGAAATATCGCCGATTTCGTTCACGTGGGATGATCAATTCATCATCTAACTGTGACTTGGAATTAGATCTACAGCCTTAAGTAGTATTAACATGGCATTTCGGTTGGCGAACATAAATCACTTTGCGAAGACGCGGCGGCCGCGCGTTGCGTAATAATGAGCAAGCGAGCGTAGCATGTTAAATTTTAAGCGTAAAGAGCGAAAAAACGAGTTGTTCGTATGAACAATGCACGGAGCGGAGGGGCTACGCTCGCACGCTAGGGTGAAGATCAGGCAGGCATTATTTTTCACCGACGTTTCGCCATGTTTGTCGAAAATTTGCCGTAAAATACGGTACATCAAAATATTATTGGCCGTATAAAAAAAATGTAAGTCATAGAACTTCAAGAATCAGTCGATCAACGTTCTCAAGAAATTCGTATTTATAAAAAAGTTTCTTGGGAACTTTTTTATAAATTCAATTTTCTTGGAAATTTATGAAAAGTACAGAATTATCTTGTCAATTTTATTTGAGCGTATTGTAACAATTAAATGCTTGTACATTTAATATAAAATTTCCTTTTTCGCGTCACCGATTGTGCGAGTTAAGAATGCTAAGTGTAATCCGCGTTATTATTATATTGTATATTGTTCGTGATGTACGGCGAAAATTTCTGAAATATTCTATATCGACTAACTGTCCGATAAATTGCCTTCTAAAAAGCGGAAGTAGCAGTTGTTAAATGAAGCTTTCTCAAGAAGTTGGACGTGCGGGCGATTCGTGTCCCGTGATGGAGGTAACATGTTTTTGTTCGTCAGATAAGGGCAGGCGTAGCAAAAGTTATTTGTAAGAGCGAGCTGCGTAGCGCGGAAGAAAATTAATCGTTTCCTAATTATCGCATAGCGTGAATATAACGCCAACTCGCGGCAGGAAAAAAGATTCTTGTCTTTGACCCGAGTTCCCGCGCACGATACGGGTCGTAAAGTATTGTTTAGAACGTAATCATTTTTCACGTATCCACGCGAGTTGCCGGCGCAATCACTCTCAAACACTCAGCAGAAATTCCTTCCCTCTTATCATCCCTTTGAAAAAGCACGTTCCTTTGAAACACATAAATATATAAATATACTTAGCAAGAAAGTCAAATATCTCTATTACTTAATATTTAAAAAATGTTACTATTGCTCATTCGCTGAAGCTACGTCAAAAAATTCGAGACATAAACCAAAGCTATTTTTTATCACAAAACTATTCTCATAAAAAAAAATGAAAATAATAGTCAAATTTCAAAATTAATTAATCATTATATACAATATGTCTTTACATTACCGGCCGCTCATTGATCAAGCTATACCGCGCAATTGTTTCGTTTTTCCGTGATTAAAACAGCTGCAACCTATTCTGTATTATTTTTTCATTCTGTTTTAGCCATATTTTTCAATTAATCTTAAATGGATTTTAATCAAAGTTTGACTTGATGTTCATGTCGACGGGTGTTTTGCGTCACGGCTCCTACGCGAAATCGGTTACTTCTTGCGTGCAGGCGCGTGTAGGCGATAGACGTTCGACTGCGCACGGTTAAAGTGGAAACGCAATCCCCAGCACCCCCAGCAAGGAATCAGAGATGAATGCGAGCCGATATGGGGGGAGAGTCCCGAACGCAGGCAGCCATGCGTGAACGTGTCACGCATAGGCACGTGGCCGTGTATGTACTACCGAAAGACATAATGCGAACGGCGGCAGCGACTCCGACGACGTGTCCTGCAACCCCTGCAATATGCTACGGACATTTCTTCCGCGCGATTCCAATTTACCCGGCCTTGTATCGCCGGGGAAGAATAACAGTCCGAGCAAGATACAGCGTGCTTTCGCCGTCGATTTCGCGTTCATTTTTTCACGACGCGAAAAGATCACGCGACTCGCGAAGAGATTAGCATGCAATCAGTTTCAAACTTCGCCATGAAAATTGTTATCGTACGTATGGCGCTCGCAAGTTTCCATTCGAGCTCTGTAAATCGTTCCATTATTTTTTTTTTCTTCATATTATTAATGCTTTATTACTCGTTTTCCAGAATCGTATTTTGCTCGTGCATTTCGAAATTTATACGCGACTATGACGGCGCCGTACAAATTTAATATTAAATTTTGACATTTGTTAATGCTTACAAGATTTGTAATTGTATTAACGGACTTATGTATTACATATTTAATCAATTAATAATTAGCCGCGAGTTTAACAACAATGTTTTCCATGCAGAAAAAACGCGCGACTTCAATAAAAATTTCCTTCCAAGTATCGCTAAAATATAAATTACATCATTGAATCGATCGACGTCTTTTGTTTCCTCCCGAGAGAGAGAGAGAGATGGAGAGCGAGAAACAGAGACCAAGTTCTCGTTACCCTTCCTCATTTTTATTGTCGTAAATCTGGCGGCGCGAATGCGCTGGTCACGCGCCGTTTCCCAGTGACTTGTTGCCCACGATCCATGTCCCTCAGGGTTTCGCCCCCCGCGACCCCCGCGCGATCCACGGACGAGCGGAATCCGTGCCAGCAAGATCCGGTCCCCTCCGCTCTTCCTGGCCGGAGTTCCGGTCGTCCCCCCCTCCACTTTGGACACGTCAGAATCCACAATTCGGACTTTAAGGAAATTCTCACGAGTTCAAATCCCCTCTTTCTCGAGAGTACTCTAAGTGCGGATTTTACTAAACGGCAATTAATTCGATATGCAGTTTCGGTGCAGATCGTAACATTAATCACAGTCGCAATAAAACGGGAATATCTGGTTACCCGCTATTAATTAATCGGACAACGGATGATGTCGGACACGATCTATCACCTCGAAAGGACAGGACGAAAGATATCTAAAGGACATCCGAAGGACGCCGAAGGGCGCTCGGATCGCTTTTAGACGTCTAGCGCGAACCGCGCGCTATTGGGATACCCCGATTGCGCCTTCCAACGTCAATCACTCCGTGCATATTTCAAGGGAAGCGAATTCACACAGAAATAGGGGGGGAGAGAGGGGCCCGACGCGATAGTTACCTATGGTGTCGAGGATAGTCACGCCATACGCGATCGGACGCGTGAGCGAATTGCCGGGGCACGCGCCGCTCCAGAGTACGTAATTATCATAGGGAGTTTAGGGCTGCCCCTCAGACATAGATACACACATACGT